ATTTACAAAACACATTTTACATTTTCCTCTAATACATATTTTTTTCATCAATTTAAATGAGGAAAATCCATGCACAGTGTGCAAAAATTTCAAAATCAAGAGCAGAAAAACGCCGCCTTCACAATTTTAAATATTACAGCCAAACACAGAGCGGAGCGGCGCGGGGCGTACTACCGGCGCGTCGCGAGGCGCGCACTAACACCTACAAACCTACGGGGATACTTCACGCATTGCGCAATGCTTGAAGTATCCCCTTAGGTTTGTAGGCGTCAATGCGCGTTGGGAGTTGGCCAGCCGCGCCGCGCCGCCGCCGCAGCGTGCCACGGCGCCTCAAGCAACTATTTCACAACAGAGGTGTTGCACGGTATCAAACGAAATCGAAAACGCTCCAACATTTTAAGAATGATAGGCGTCCTATGAGTGTACGAAGCTTTCCTCGCAAAATAAATCAAGGTACTACGGCACGACCTCTCCTGCCGAAAAAACGCGTGGACATGAACTACTAAAAGAACCAGGTGCATGGACAAAAAATCGTTGTCGAAATGTCCTTCAACCGGGGCCCGGGCCTTAAAACTGGTACTAGGGCCTGAGAAAGGATGTGGCGGGCCTGGCTTTAGGGCAGAATGGAGTTTGAGTCTGCGTTACGGGTGCGTTATAAAGGAAAGGAAAGCCCAGAGTTTTTTAAATAACGCTTAATTCGGCGCAGAATTCCAATTACTTGATGAAAACTCAATATGAAAAACTGACGAGGTGACGCTTTTCCACTCGAAATTCATCACGAAATGCCAATTTGAGGAAAGCGGGGTCGTGCCTCCTTTCATTTTGGGAGGGGGGGGGAGAGAGAGAGAGAGAGAGAGAGAGAGAGTGGGGAAGATGTAAACCTGTGTTACCGGCACGTTACGGGGGGAAAATCCACTTTTCAGCGTTACGTATTTTATGAACGTCAAAAAAATTTCCAGACTTTCCATGCCAGACTCGGGTCTGCATGGAAATGTAGAAACGTACTCATTGAAAATAAAGAAAGTCGAAACGGTAAAAAACTCAAACCCACAAATTTAAATCAGAATCGGGGCCGGGGAACCCCGAAACGCGTAGGCAATTTCAATTTAAGTTTGTGAGTTTAAGTTTTTTAGTTTCGACTTTCTTTATTTTCATTAGGTATTTAGCTCACAGTTTTTTACTTCGATTTCCCGTTTGTTTCGTTTCGTTTGGTCTCCGTTACTCTCGGTGTATTAGCGTACTGATTGTTCATTTTTATTGATGTTCCTCTTTATGAATTCCTCTCAAAAGATTGTGTCAAGTTCATCCACAGAAATTGAATGCCTACGAAGGCAATGAAACGATATCTCGGTTTGCGACGTCGTAAGTTCTCTGGCATATTTAATTTTTTTCGAGGACGATCAATGGACCACTAGACAAGGTATGAATTTCAGCATTCTGATACGAGTTTCTCAACCAAAATTTCTCATAGAACACGATGCGCACAACGAAAATTACGAAAATCAACTCCTTACGAAGCTATTCAATGATTCTTGATGCGTGAATTCAAACCACCCGCTCATGAAGACTCAATGCTCTACGAGATTCACATCGAGCGCTAAACGTTAGCATGACAGTCTCTACGATATAAAAATCTGGCAACCTCAATCTTGACACTTTAGCTCAGCTATAGCAAATTGCTTATAGTTCGAACAATACATGGTGAGACATGAACATTGTTCGACTGAGAAACTTGCTGAAACCGTCGTAGTGCGCGATTTGACTCACGTAGAGCTTTGAGTCTCTTGTGAGCGGGCAGCTCAAATTCCTCGTAACAAATGTGAAATAAAAACGTTGAAATATTCGTTAGGAGTAGGTTTCAGTAATTTTCGTTGCGCGAATCATGTTCTATATACGTGAAATTTTGGTTAAGAAACATGTAGGTATCTGAATTCTTAAATTCGTACCTTATCTAGTGGTCCATTGCGATCATTTCACGAAAATGCACACATGTGAAATACTTATGAAGTCTAAAAAGACCCAAAACGTTACAGATCACTCGGCGTGACCTCAACTTAATATCCCAACGCAAGCTGCCTAAGCTGAACTCCCCCCCCCCCTCTGGTAGTCCTGACTGGTAGTCATTAGAGCTGAAAAATATATTTTTTCGCCTCTGCCGCGGATAGTGAAAAATGTTTGGTTTTGGGCGGACTGAAAACACCTAAATTTCCTATCCGTGGCGGAATGTGGGAGAGCAAGAATAAAAACAGATGTTATAGGGCGACGTAGGACTCGCTTGTATTTGAGATGAAATCGTTGCATTAATATACAATGGACTGACTTTCGGGAGCACTGAGGACGGCTGTGCAAGATGGTCAAAACCGAAGTGAGAAACTCTTCGTAACGAAATTAGAGCTTAGCCTCGAGAGAGCTTTATCAATCAATCCATCTTGTGACGCTGCATGTGTAATAAAAAGTAAAATGAAGAAAGATGCGTTCGACTGATCACAGCAACGAGTAAGTGAAGCTTGCTCGATGCTTGGTTTTGAAAATTAATAGAGAGAGACCGAAAATATGGGAGAAAGGGAGATAGAGAACCTCTATGAATAAATGCGTTGCGGTAAATGTGACAGTCTCTAATTGAAATTTTTGGAACTTCTTGGCTTTGTTTTCTCCGTGAAATGGTGCGTGGACCCAGCACGATTTCTCCACCTTTATTTATGTGTGTATTTATGTTTCCTACTTTCGCTTCGGTCGGTAGGTACTGTATCACTGGTTTTTGTTTTGACACCTGCTCTGCCGTACTAAGGAAGAACGCCGTATGAACATTCGAGAGTTGCCAAATTTCTCCGGATAAAACATGTATTTTTGATGAAATCTATGTATATTTTTTTCAAAAGTTTTAGATGTTTTAGATTAAAGTGCGTACAAAATTGTCTGAAAATTATGGAAAATAACATTCGCAATTTTCCCAGTAAATTCGGGTTTTATCAAAGGAAACTTGGCAACGTCTGAAGGCTCATACGGCGTTCTTCCTTAGCACGGCATGGTTGTCCATACCCACACGCCGAAGCGCGAAGATCTTGGCTCAGCTTTACAATTATTAAAAGATCGAGCGACTCATCTCGTGAGTTGAAAAGAGGCTGCTTCTTCAGTGGGCGCATTGCCTCTTTTCATGCAGAGAATAGTTTCGAGTACCCATAGTACGTGCGTATTAAAACGCAGTGCACTCTAACAATGATTACAACTTTGTCAATTTACCGTGCATGTTTTCGGATGGGTTTTTTTCAGATCGTTAGAGGCAATATTCCGCGGCAAAAAGCAATGAACGTCATCATACGTTTGCCACGTTTATGCGAGTTTTCGAGATTTTTAAATGCTTTGATGGAGATGTTTCGTGTGAGGAATTTGCGATTTGACTGTTGATTCTTACGTAAAAGTTCGCGAAAAACACGATGGTCCCACTGGTTTTCTCTGAAATCAACTCTCAAGCTCAAAAAAAGCTCTCAAGATGAGGCCAAAATGGAAGGGATATCCCCCACTATCCTGAGAGTCCACCTCTACATCAAAACAAAATCTCCATGCAAAGATAGGGAGCAAATACATCAGCAGGGCTGCCACTTTATTTGGGGACTCTAAAACTTAAAACACGGCATCACTGCTAATGTATTTGCTCCCTATCTTTGCATGGAGAGTTTGTTTTGATGTAGAGGCGGACTCTCAGGATAGCGTAGGATATCCCCTCCATTTTGGCCTCAACCTGAGAGCTTTTTTTGAGCTTGGGAGTTGATTTCAGAGGAAACCAGTGGCACCATCGTGTCTCTCGCAAACTTTTACAAAAGAATCAATTGTCAAATCGCAAATTCCTCACACATGCAACATCTCCATTGAAAGTATGCAAGTTTTGGATGGTGCTACTATCCCTAATAATGAGGGAATGATTCACCGGTGTATTCCGCAAGGGTGAAAAGAGGCATCATATTTCATGTTCAAATGAACATGTTCCAACATGAAAAAATAATAATACGTACTTTTTCATGTTTTTTTTTTTTTATTGTGAACTTTATTCATAAGTATCAGGTTGATTAATTAGTCTCAATGGGCCTGTTGCAAACTTTTGCTAGAGCAAAACTAAGAGTTGTTTCCTGCAGATAATGCCTCAAAAATCACGATGAGCGCATCGGCAAAGTCTGAAATGCACTCATAACTTCACAATCTGCGTAAGATTTTTGCGGTTTTTTGAGCTTCCCGCTTCGAAAACGATACTACGGTACAGGTGAACATTTTGTTAGAGGAGTCGTTCCATTGGCGACAATACTCATCATGGCCGACGCCAGTCCGCCAAAACACGTGTGATGGGACGAGATAACACCTGAACAGGATTAAACCATTTAACAATCGGCGTGTTTACGTTCATATTTTCCTCGCCCGCCTTAATTGACCTTGAACTCTCCTCGAATTACGCGAGGAACTGCGCAAGCGTCGGCCATGATGAATATTGCCGACGATGGAGCGACTCCTCTAACAAAATGTTCACCTGTGCAGTAGTATCGTTTTTGAAGCGGGAAGCTCAAAATAACGCAAATTTCTAACGCAGATTGTGAATTTATGAGTGCATTTCAGACTTTGCCGATGCGCTCATCGTGATTTTTGAGGCATTATCTATAGGAAACAACTCTTCATTCTGCTCTAGCAAAAGTTTGCAACAGGCCCATTGCAACGTTTAAAAATCTCCGATTAAGTTCGGGGCAGTATGAGAGGGAAATTAATTAAAATGTTTCATTATAATTTTGCGGGTTTTTTTATAATGAATGTGGAGAATTCACAGAAAATTTCAATAGAAACTGTGGGCTAGTTTTTCAGAAAATAAAACACGAGCGAAGACCTACCTACAACGTCGCAATCTAAAATAGACATTTTTCGACTTGAGCCATCGATATGTACGAAGTCTTCGGGAAGTCTTCGTAAATGAATAATCAGGTTAATAAGTTACTGAATTGAAGAAATAAATAGGAATAAAATAACTGAGCAAGAGAAAATTTATTTCAGCAAAAGTTGTTTCATGGCCATAGCGTACAAGCTACATAGCTATATATATAAGCTATCTCTCTGGCACAAATATTTTTCTTGTTGTGATTCATGCATGCATACGCACACATTTTAAGGTTCCTTTTAACCCTTATACTCGTATGTCCAAGAATTTTTTCATACGCTAAGTCCCAAGAGGCACGTTTTTAAAAAAGAAAATCTCGGGTCAATATGACCCTGATTGAGCATTTAAGGACTATAACACTGGACTTCCTGAATCCTGAGTGTTTACGGGTGCAAAATAATACTCGCACATGATTCCGTGCCTGGAGATTGAGAGAATATATTCGTGAAAATCAAGTCAAAGAACCTACTTTAACCCTATTCTTGGTAGTTTTTAGCCGGTGTATTGGGCAGGTCGGGATCCACTGTTCATTGGCGGCTTGGTTTTGTCTTTCGATGGTGGCTGTCCATAGACACCGGATGGTCGATTTATAGGAGGACAGTTACATTGCTGAACTGGCGGACAGCTACACTTCTGAACCGGTGGACAGCTACACTTCTGGACTGGGGGACAGCTACACTGCTGAGGAACAGACGGACAGTGGGAAAGAGACGGAGAGGCACCCAGCACCGTATGATCTTTCGGCTTCGAGGAATCTTTCTTCTTGTCGCCTTTGCTTCCTTTGAAAGCTTGGGTGAAGTACTTAGCTCCAGCCTCCACAGCTTTTATGATGGCTTTTATTTCGCCTCGTCGCTCGGCCGCGCTGTTGAACGCTGTCACTGTTGTGTTCAGTTTCGACAGATTTTCCCCGGAATGTTCGACCGTTTCGTTCAGAGCTTTCCAGACTGGGTCTTGGTCAGTTAGTGTCTGAAAAATTACAGGAATTAAATTTTTCACCGAAAAAGTCATTTCAGCGAGAGCATTATTTGCATTTGCACTACTATACTTTTGCCAAAAACGCAGTGGCGTGGCGTGCTTTCCGATGTAGGTATCGTTTCATCTGCCATTTAAACCTTTGGAAAAGGATCGATAAACAGGGTGTTCGCAACGAACACACTGGAAAAAAACACACATCGGATCTAGAGTCCAGACTCTTAAAAACATCGACAAGAAAAAGTACTCTTGATTCAATCAGATTTAAGCTTAAATCAAGAACCAAGCCTCTTAATTTGAGCGGATTTCCTTTTGATTTAAGCTTGAATCTGATTAAATCAAGAGTCCTTTTTCTTGTCAATGTTTTCAAGAGTCTGGACTCTAGATATAATGTGTTTTTTTTTCCAGTGCACCCTGATAATCGATTTTTTATCATACATTCAAATGGGGGAAATGTCTGTAAATCGATCATTGACGCCTCGCCACTGATAGCGCATGTGCTCTTGCGACTATGTTAGTGGCCATTATGACCCCTTGAAGAACCGTAAAAGGTAACGCGCTATCTATATCAACGGTGAAACTATACCAGGCCACGTTTCACAGTTTGTGACGTTGTGGACTTCCTGTCATACTTCATGTTTCAAATAGAAAACTAGTCAACGTTAGTTTTGAAAACTTGCGTGATTTTTCTTCTCTGCGCGAAGAAAAATCTGTGGAAACTACGAGGAATGATTTTGATTCGTTCTCCTTTAAAAAAATTAACTGGAAGCGGAAGTAGGTATTTAAATACCGCAAACGATATATCGACACCTTCTGCGACCAAAGTATCGCAAGCGCCATGCGACTTTCACAAATTTTCGTCGCCATTTTTTTTCCACACAGAAATTGTACAACGAAGCTGTCCGAAAATTTCGCTGAGTTTTCTTTGTGTTCTCTCTCTACCGATAATATTCAGTGTTTACAAACAGATTCAACCAACAATTTCTCTGTTAAAAAATAAAACGGCGGCGGAAATTTTGAAACATCGCGTGGCGCTTGTGATACTTTGGCCGGACGATGACGATATGTGGTCTGGTAATTTCACCGTCGGTTTGTTAAAATTTAATTAAATTGTTGTTCGGATCATATCTTTCAAGTGATCACATCTAGCCTGAAACTCTTGTTTCCTGGATCCGCATGATGATAGTGTTACTTAAATATACTTTAGTAGATCCAGGAGGAATCTACTTCTTTGACATGTAGGACAATGTTTTGCATCGCCCAACAGTGGATCGAGTCCATTAGAGAGGTCGGGCATACAATTTTTGACAAAAACTGCAAATTTTTATTTTTATTTCGTCACATTTTAAACTTTAAGGAATGCCCCTTGAAGAAAATTTCACGAGAAAACCGATGGAACCACTTTTGGAACCTCAAAGTTTGTCTAAACGGAGTTATAAACGTTTAAAGTTTCCAAATTTTGTCAGATCTTTCCTAGTGACTCGATCCACTGTCCGCCCCTCAAATTGAAGGCAATCACCACACTTCGTGTCAGAGCATGGCACGCCTTCAGTTCATTGGCGGATCCAGCAAATTGGCAACATTGTTTTTTCTCCATGTAAACCTTTGGAAATGTATCGATCTTTGGAGGGGCTGTGCTCCGACAAGAATCGATTATTTAACATAGGCTTAAATGGAGAAAATCCAGTGTTGACAATTTGCTGGTTCCTCTTCTGCTTCTAGGTTAAACGAAATCGGCACCTTTCGCTTTAAGATTTGCATTTTGAAAGTTAATTATCGGCAAGTAACGCACCTGATTCTTCTCGGCTGCAAATCTTTTGGCTTCATGGATAGTAGCATTCACAACATCGAAAACTCTCGCGGCAGAGTAATATCGCTTGATCAGTTCCTTGCCGTATTCCTTGAATTCATCCTTCGGCTTCAAGAGAAGGTCCTTTCCATACGAAACTATATCAGCGTCACTTAATGCCGTGAAATTATACGTTACATCTTGGTCTGCTTTGCATACTATTAGCAACTGAAACGAAAATGGTCAAAATCAGCGGTTACTGCTCGTTCCCATCTAATCTATATTTTATTTAGCTGCATATTTTTAGGAAGAAAAAAAAATTTAATTACCTAAAATAATTGTTTTGGGAACTATATCAGCGTCACTGAATGCAGTGAAATTATACGTTACATCTTGGTCTGCTTTGCATACTGTTAGCAACTGAAACGAAAATGGTCAAAATCAGCGGTTACTCCTCGTTTCCATCTAATCTATATTTTATTTAGCTGCATGCATGTTTTTAGGAGAAAAAAAAATTAATCACCTAAAATAATTGTTTTGGGAACAGCTCTGAAAATTGTAAGAGAGATATTGTTTGAATACATTTTTTTATATATAAAAGAAAAAAAAAAGCAATTATAGGCCAAGTTAATTTGATATTAAGTTTAATTATAGCCAGTAAGATCAAATTAAATAATCCATGAAGTAAGGATAAATTAATTTAATTAAGTGAGGATAAGGTAAATGACATAATTATGGATGGTTAAAATACACTAGTAGTTTTAGACCGAACTTATTTCAAATTAAAAGTTGTAAAAATAAGTACACATCAAAAATTTAATTCTCAATCACAAAAACCGACGAGATTACGGGGTTTCTCGGAATCAGGAAAATGGTTCAATATTTACAGTTTAAAGTCATTTTTTTGGAGACAACAAACTTTCATACATAATACCCCTCACTCTCACTTGAGGCTTCAATCACATTCACGTGATAGAAAATATAAATAACATTAATGATGCAAGATATTTTTTTCGCTTTTGTTCTCTTACAAACATGTTCGTTTCCCACCTCGTTTAATTTTACACGGAGAAACAAAAAAACACGGTTATTCGACGGTATTTCACGGTAGTGGAACCGTGGATTTTGGTAATATTATTGATGAGCACAGTGGCATAACCATGCTCATAATAGTAAGTCTGTGCCCACAGTAATATTACGGTGAACACGGTTATATCGCCGTGCTCATCGTTACAAAAATCAAAATCCACGGTTCTACTACCGTGGAATCTCGTGTGACATTACTACCGCTTTACCGGTAGAATAACTGTGTTTTTTTCTCGGTGTAATAAATTCAAACTTGAAGCCAGCAGCTCAAATTCTTCATTTTTCTTCAATGTTTGCACGTGTCCGAAACTATAGAAGACCCTCTCAACCCTAAGAACATCTTGTTTAGAAATTACCTGAGAGATACAGATGGCAAACGATGTACAGATTAAGATTCCCCTGAAAGTACACATAGCAACGGCGGTGCGATCCCGTATTACACAGCGCTGTGAAACGTTTTCATTCGTTGAACTCGCAGACTGCAAAACTGACGAGGATGCTGTAATCATCGGTTCACACGATTATCTCACGGATGCTCGTCATGGAGCAGAAGTAACAATCAACATTGAGCGATTTGAAAAAGCAGTTCTTACCAAAACGTATATTCTGCCGTGCTACGTAAGAACCCCGTGAATCCATCAAGATTCTCCCTCGATTTTTGGAGCTTAACACTGAAACTGTTTTACCCATGCATCTCAAATTTACAGGTTAAGTTCTTGATAGCTTTTGCGAAAAAATTCTGTAAAAATGTTGCCCCAAGGCACACAGGTTTTTCTGCTATGATGAATTGTTTCCAAAAAATGTAAAATGGCGTTTACGGTGTATTTGCGTTGCACGGCAGTATTGAGGAATTATGATACCTCTCTCAACTCTTAATACAGCGAGATATTGTTTGCTGGTGATGGAAGATTTTGTCTTTTCATCTTACTCGTAGACTCATCTCACACTAAAAATAATGACTTCTTCCTCCGTGCTTTCTCAAAAAAGAACTTGGATTTAGTGGCGAGGAGTGACTGATCGATTTTTGATATTTTCCCATTTGAAGGTATGGTAAAGCATCCATTATTGAGGTGTACGTTGCGAACACCCTATTAATCGATCCTTTTCTACAGGTTTAACTGACATATTGTCGAAATATTGCAAAGCACGCCAAGCCAATGCTAGGAATATATTTTCATGTATCGATATAAGGCACATTTCGGTTTTAGCAGACGAGCTAACACACGTATGTGGCTGAAAGTGAACAAATATCGCAATGTCAAACCAGCTCTCTTAAATTGAGGAGCTTTTTGGAAACAGAAAATATACACGGTAAGAGAAAGTAACCGACATTTTGTGTTAATATGGGAAGTAAAATATAAAATGACCCAAGCCTGCATGATGGGTTAGGGAAACAAATTTCCCAAAATGTCTCAATGTAGCTTCAATTGGACTAGGTTTTGCAGTAGGGTAACAAATTAAGGAACAATTATTTACGTTATTTCTGGTTCATTGAAGAAACAAAAAATGTGTCTTTAGTTTCCTTATGCATATAGGTAGATGGACCACGACCGAAGACTGAAACATGCAACATCTTTGTTGGTGTAAAGTTCTTTGCGTCAGTTGAATTTGAAGGCACCGTATCAACCATCAAATTTCAGTGCTTGTGGAGAGTGCACACACAGTGCAAAAAAAGTTTTCGGAAAAAGAAGAGCTCCAGAAATAAATGTTTCGGGCTGCCTGAAATCCCTTGGTATTTTGCACCTGCCCTTTTCCTACTTTCGAACGAATGTTTTAATACATAACACTGTAACTCTGTCATGAATGAGCGATTTAATTTTTTTGGATGGGAAAAAAGAATCTGATTTGATTTTTACCCTTTTTTTCTGAGAAATATTTTTTTGAAGTAAATTATTCATTTTTGAAATGAAAAAAAAAATGAGAATTTTTTTTTTTAAATCAAAGAAAACAGAAGATAGAGAGAATACAAGAAATATCGAACTACAGATATATATATGTTTCGGGCTGCCTGAAATCCTTTGGTACTTTGTACCTGCCCCTTTCAAATTCACTCGATCTAAAAGTTTGCTGATAACAGAGGAAATACCTTTCTCGATGCGATTCTGCAGAAGAGGCACCATACGATAATTTCACACGGAAATAAGCGACAGCACTGGAGTAACCACCCATAGGGTTGCTCACCTGTGCATCAGGCTCCCCTCCCCTCTTTCTCCTCCAGTTTCTCACGGTCCCCACCATCCTCTTTCAGCTTCATTTGAACGTCAATCAGCATTAGTTGCGGATTCAGGAGCCGCGGTGGCAGGCTCTCTTGCTGGGACAAAAAAAGGAAGAGAAGAAGGAGCATGATAAAAAGAGAACAGCGGACATGGGTAGAGTATAATGGACCACTAAATTAGATACTAATAAGGATGCGGCTTCTTCGTTTACATCGATTAAATCGAATCAATTTTGATCAGAAAAATGGATTAAGTCGGATCGATTTTTTACCCTGTTGTGTGAGGCGAATCAATTTTTTCCTCCAATCAATGAAATTTTGCGATATCTCCGATTTTTTTGACGTCCAAACCTTGCCTCATATGCTTATGTCTATCATACGGAAATATTCTCTTTCGTTTTAAGTGTCTTTTTTTTACACACAAGGGTTGTATTGTGTTTGGTGTTTTTTTTTTTCGAAAAATAATCGAAATTTCACGGAAAACAGAATTTTCCTCATCAGCTAAATGAAAGGCAATTCTGGTAATTAATATGATAGTCGAATTTTTCGATTCGATATTCAGAAAACTCGGTTTTTACACTTAAATGGATGCAGCCTACATTGATTTTTGTTTACGGAAATTGATTTTTTCCAAACAATCCGTAACTCTACTGGGCGCAACGGTAACCATTCTGTTACATATTTCCCATCCAAAATTTCACAAAGAACCCGATTCGCGCGCGCGTAAAAAAAAAAAGAATGACGTTTGAAATTCTAACCTCGAGTTGCCGTAGTTGTGTTGAACGAAACCATACAAAAATGATTAAAAGAGAAAAAAACGAAGAAACACGCAATTTTTGGGTTTGACCCATTTGTACATCGATCATTAAGAATTAAATTTGTCCAATTTTGAGCGATTGGTTGCGTGTACACTACACTGCAGCACATTACAAGCACAACATATATGAGAAAAAATTACAGTGCTTTCGAAATCATCAACTTTGACACGGAACCAGCTTAATATTTACAAAACGCATTATATTTTCCTTCTTTTTTATGTATTTATTTATTTAATTATTTATTTATTTTTTTCCATCAATTTAATTGAGAATAATCCATGCAGAGTGTGCGAAAATTTCGAAATCATGAGTTGAAAAACGCTGACTCCGCGAGTTATTAAATATTAGAGCCAGAGTGGAGCAGCACGCGGCGTGCTGCCAGTGCGACCTGCGCATTGGCGCCTACAAACCTAACAGGGATACTTCACGCATTGCGCAATGCGTGAAGTATCCCTGTTAGGTTTGTAGGCGCCGATGCGCGTGTCATGCTGATCGCCCTCGCCCGCCGCTTCGCAAGCAACTATTCCACAACAGAGGTGTTGCACAGTATCAAACAAAAGTGATGGCGCTCCTAAATATTAAGAATATTATAAGAATATAAGAAACCAGACCATGAAACACGGTATATGCTTACCGCGCTTAGAAGTTGCACTGGAATTCTTGTGGCTCCTTCTTGCAAAATGCAATTCAATTATCCCCAGTAAATTCGTTTTATAATGAAGGAAATATGGCAACGTCTGAAGGCTCTTACGGCGTTTTTCCTTATCACGGCAGTTCACGCATCAAGCGTTTTGCGTTACACGTTACTGTCATGACTTTTAACTGCTATTGGAAACACATAAGATATAGTCCCAAACTGAGCTCACTCAACTTATTTTTACCCACGAGGGGTCCGCGAAGCACCCTCGGGAGGTTGGGTCGTGCAACGGACTGATGGCGTGGTCCCATCAGTGGCGTGGCGTGCTATCTATCGATTTTTATGCCATTTAAACCTATGGAAAAGGATCGATACACAGGAAGCTCGCAGCAAACACCTTAATAATCAATTTTTTACCATACGTTTAAATAGCAAAACAATCGATACATCGCAATTCACGCCACGCTACTGGGTCCTATGGTCTAAGAAAATTTGGCAATGTACAAATTCACGTGTGGCGTCCTTCGTTAACCCGGCAGTGTAAGTGATGACATCATTGTCAAAGGCCTCTTGCTTACACCGCAGCAACATCGATTAATGCTGTCGTGCTAAGAAAGAACGCCGTATGAACGTTCGAGAGTTGCCAAATTTTCTTCGAGAAAATGTTTATTTTTTAGGAAAGTTATCATTATTTACCCTCGAAATTTTCAGAATCTTTAGGTAAAATTGCGAACTAAATTATCTGAAAGTTTAGGAGGAAAATATTCATAAATTTACTAGGAAATTCGTGTTTTATCAAAGCGACTTTGGCAACGCCTGAAGGTTCATACTGCGTTTTTCCTTAGCGCGGCAGAATGTCGCTCGGCATTCGACTGCGCCGCGCCGTGAATAGCCGGCAACGACACACAATGGGACGAGCTAATAGAAAAGATTGGACATGAATTTTTGGCAAAAAAGGAGGGGTATCGATAGGGACCTTTATTGGCCCCCTTAGAGCACATCATCTATCTAAAACCAAACTAGGGCTAAAATGTGTCCTATAGCCTCCTTGGTAACATATCAAAAGCTCGTTTTAGTTAGACGTCGTGCTCGGTGTCAAGAAAGCCTCAGAGTGATAGAAAACCACGCATTTTTCGCTAAAATGCGCCTACAGACCTATGCTCAGGCAACCGTTTAACACGTATCCAGTGGTCTTTGGACTAAATCATGATTATTTCCGTAAATTAAATTGAGTCAACTGGAAAACCCGCATGAATTCCCAGATTCTAAGGGGGGGGCGGCAAAAAAGGCCCTTATCGATACCTTTCCTTTCAAATGTTGATGTTTAAATAGTCACAAATTCAATGTCAAGGGGTGTTCCGAAAAGGAATTTTCACGGAAAACCCAATAGAGCCACTCTTGGATTTTCCCCTCGAAAATATAAGCTTTTAAAGTTTCCAGATTTTGTCTGACCTCTCCGATCGACGCGATCCACCGTGCGACGCCCTGTACCCTGTACGCTTTTAAGCACCCTCGATTTCTAGTGCCTCCGCTTACGTCGTTCCGAACAGGCAGCCCCTCGAAAATCTAATTTCCCCTATCTCATCGAATCCTCCACCCGACGATGTACTTACGTTGCGAAATAAATTGTAATGACGTCTGCGAAAGAGGAGGCCGCGGGCCGCGGGCGGGGTACCTCCGCGAGTTCCGGCGCAGCGCGCTGATCCGCGAGTGTTCATTTTTATATTCAATCAAAAAGACTCCGTGCGATTTCAATGGGTTTATTGGGTACTAATATCACACAATCGAAGACTGATGTAGTTACTCGTCCTGGTACTGCCGTGCTGAGGCGGAACGCTGTACGAGCGCTCAAAAGTTGCCAACTTTCCCAGGTCGCTGCAATCCTCAATCTACTTATTATTGTTCTAGAGATGTCTGTGTTCCATACACAAAAAATTGCAGGCGCTTTGGTTTTTTTCGGCACCACGAATGGCTACGGTTATTAGTTCTGGATCAGTGTTCGAAACTCACCTTTGAGTTTTAGGAGCCATGTGGCGCATCAGGCCCGATTTTTAAGCACCATTGAAGATTTTTTAGGGGCCAAATTGACTTTTTGCCTTTATATTACGGCGCATTTAGTGAAAAGTTAGACGCAATATGTTTTCGTAACAGAACTAGTGTCAATTTGGCCCCTAAAAAATCTTCAATGGTGCTTAAAAATCGGGCCTGATGCGCCACATGGCTCCTAAAACTCAAAGGTGAGTTTCGAACACTGATCCAGAACTAATAACCGTAGCCATTCGTGGTGCCGAAAAAAACCAAAGCGCCTGCAATTTTTTGTGTATGGAACACAGAGTCTCACAGAGTCTCACAGTCTTGCAGGCGCTAATATCATTCGTCCGAGTTTCACGTTGAGTAACCAGTGCAAATGCGCGTCACTAATGAAAAGAAGGTGGAAGAGAACAACGATGTCAATACCGCGGTGGATGACGTCAAAAACCCGACTTTTCAAAGGGCGATATCTCGGTTAATATTGACGTAAAGTCGCGGTTTGGACGGATCTTATTATTTTTAGCCAATCTACAAGAATCAAGCAAAACACGATCCTGTGACCAGCTGACCCATTGTCCATTAGTTTTTCTTGGGTTTCCTCCCTGATCTCCTCTCTCTAGTTCTGACCTCCGTCACAACACCGACCCCGTCCCAGAAGTCATCTTCGGCTTTCACCCCACTCTCACCCGCGAACTCGCCCCTCACTCGTTCGAACTCCTTGTCCGTCAGGTCCTTGCGGAGTTGTATCTCGTGGTACCCAAACCATTCCTCCAACTTAACCGTGACCTCGAAGTTGCTCATCACCTTAAACTTGGTCCCTTCGAAAACCCCGCGCAAGAACCCCTCAACCAGGGCCGCGTTTCCCTTTTTGAACATGGCAAACACCTTCTCGTCGAAGCGCTGGCTTTCCTTGGCCAACGCGAGAAATTCCGGGTTCGTCGGACAGGAACATTCGAATTCGATGTTGCCTGGTCGTGTTTCTCTGGGTTTGACCTCGGGGTTAACATCGCCGTGGGTGACCTGGACCAGCTCTCCAGCCGAGAAGTAGGCCATTTCGGTCTTGATTTTCCGGGTGTTCGGGGGAGGCGGCACGAAAATGTAGCCAAATATCGCGTTGCACTGTTTGATGCAGATGCTCCACCAGAGGGCGTTGTCGGTCACTGAAATGCGAATCGAGCAGAGCATTAATTTATTAATGGACCACTAGACAAGGTACGAATTTCAGCATTCTGATACATGAGTCTTGTCCAAAATTTCACGAAGAACACGATACGCAGTACGCACAACGAAAATTACCGAAATCAACTCCTTACGAAGATATTTAATGATTCTTGATGCGTGGATTCAAAGCACCCGCTCATGAAAACTCAATACTCTACGTGATTCACATCGCGCGCTAAACGTTATCATAACAGTCTCTGCGATATAAAAATCTGGCAACCTCAATCTTGACGCTTTGGCTCAGCTATAGCAAATTGCTTATAGTTTGAAAAGCACATGGTGGGAAATGAACATTGCTCGATTGAGCAGCTTGCTGAAACCATTGTAGTGCGCGATTTGACTCACGTAGAGTTTTGAGTTTCTTGTGAGCGGGCAGTTCAAATTCCTCGTAACCAATGTGAAATAAAAACGTTAATATCTTCGTTAGGAGTTGGTTTTAGTGATTTTCGTTGCATGAGTCGTATTTTACGTGAAATTTTGGTTAAGAAACATGTATCAGAATCCTTTAACTCGTGCATTGTCTAGTGGTCCATTATTAGGAATATCAATTTTAATTTTGCCTTGGAAAAAACACACATTGGATCTAGAGTCCAGACTCTTAAAAACATCGACAAGAAAATGTACTCTTGTTTCAATCAGAATCTAGCTTAAATCAAGAACCAAGCCTCGGATTTCGTTTTGATTCCAGGAAAAATCCGATTAAATCAAGAGTATTTTTTCTTGTCAATAATTTCAAGAGTCTGGACTCTAGATCTAATGTGTTATTTTTCCAGTGTGGTAATCTCTCTAGTTTTATTTCAGGACAGGTTCTCAGATATTATGAGTTTTATTATATTTTGAAATCTCGAAATTATTCAATTTTCGGCTATTCATGATGAAATCAAATCAAACACTGAGCTATTTAGCCAATCTTCACCGCGTTTGCTTTCTTATTTCTCACCATGTTGAGGTATAATTTTTATAAATATAAACATCATCTTGCGCATTGGTTTTTTTTATTAAAGCATGACCTGAGTTCGCACATTATTGTAGTGAAAATCGGCTAATGGTTCAGTATTTGATTTGATGTTGAATTTTTCTATCTGTTCCTTTCATGCCGCAATCACACGCTAAATGTGGGAGCTGAATGTGGCTTGAATGTGGAAGTCATCGGCTCGATGCCTGAATTTTCCACGTGACGCGCAAAATCCAGCAACGATTCTCAGCAACCATCGGACTAATGTTGGATTTGTCTGAGCTATTCGAATAGATTTGAAACACATCTGGATGAAAATAACTCGAATTTGCGAAATTTCAGCCGTTGGGCGATGACTGTTGACTTCCACATTCAGCTGCTATATTCAGCGTGTGATTGCGGCATCAGTTGATTTTCATTGTTCCACAATGGGCTATTCATAATCAAAATCCAGTTTCTAATCTAACAGACCTCGTATACGGGTAGTCGACAAGCCCAGCGTTATGTGTTCTGCGTTTCTCTTATGATTTTATTTTATATCAATAAATATATTATATAATTATATATGTACAATAACTATATTATATTTTTGTATCCCTCGATCGAAAAATATCCAACCTTGCGATTTTAAAAAATGGTTGCGAATGGAGTCAACTTACGCGGGACGTTATATCTGGGGCCTACTTTCATAGAGTACCTTTCTACGAAATCGGCGGAATCTGTCGAGTCTTCCAGTCCCCTAATTTCCCTCCAGGCTAAGTCAGCTTTGGTCATAAGTTCCCGAAACTCCTTCCTGCTGGGCGGACATTTTTGAACTATTGGCAAAATAAAATACGAGTAAAAATCAGAGAGCATTTGATAAGTTAAAAGGATTATGGTTCTACTCGCCCACAGACTCATCACCCACACCTTCCCACCCACAACTCTTGACCCTCATCATTTGGATTGCATTTTGCAAAAAGGAACCAGTAGCATTGCAATGTTGCTACGATTGTGCAACTTCATCCTTTGGAATAATAATACCGAAATCATGCAAACATGTGAAATGCACATGGTAATTTTTGTCCTAAATTTAGTTTTCAGCAAGTAACATGGAAACTGCTTATAGATGATCAGAATTTTCTTCCAAGACAAAGTAAGTAACTCCTGGTTCCTTTTTGCAAAATGCAATCCATTTAGAGTCCCATACATTTTTGTGTATATAACTTTTTGCAAAGATGCCCCGTAGGTTTCGAGACATTTTCTCAAGAAACAACTCATATCTTAGCTTCAACAAAAGTTTGCAAAGGAACAATCAATTTAGCTCTAATATTAAAATCGCTTACTGTGTGAAACTATGCAAACAATTCCGCTATCGGAAACCACTAGAACTTACCAAAAAGAGCATACAACTCCTCTTGAATCCGCTTGTAAGCGATCATCCTTGGATCCATATCGTAGAGTCCTGTTCTTTTGGGACTAGGAACGTTGGGAGATACTGGCCTACGTGGAGCACGGTTTAAAGGGGCAGGATTATGTGAGCCCCTGGGTGGACTTTCTCTGAGTAACGGATTTTCGGGCCAGTTTTCAGGCGTAAGACCCAGCTTGGGGATTGATTTCCAGTCGATTGGACCAAAATTCGGAGGTTTGTATTGGAAAGTCCGCGTAGGGCTTGCATATGGGGAAGGAGGAGGTGCACTGTTGGAACCCTGAACTTTCGAAGGGGACGGTACTCTTTTTTGTGGTGAGCTGCCCCGAGTTTTGGGAAGAGACCGACTCCTTGATCTGAGATTGGGTTGAGCTTTTTGCAAGCCATTCGAGGAGGTTTTGAGCGATGATGATCTCCTGAGCAACCCTAAATTGTGAGAAAAAAGTACAGGAATTACGAAGTGATATGGTAAAGGACTTGTGGGGGCAATTAAATCATTTTATAACGGGACGATAGCAAAAATTAAATGTCGTGGAGAGTTGTCCGGAGGTTTTTTCGTCACAAAAGGGCTAAAACAAGGCTGTTGTTTGTCACCAACACTATTTAAGGTATACCTAGAGCACGTGTTAAAGGAATGGAAAAATAAGGTTGCGGGAATGGGCGTTCCACTCCTTGATGGGCAGACCCTTTATACTCTATGCTTTGCCGATGACCAGATCGTTGTAGCTCAAGATGAGGAAGATGCAGATTACATGACGCGGAAGTTGGTCGAAGAATATCGGAAATGGGGCATGGACGTTAGTGTGTCCAAGACAGAGAAGCTGGTCGTGGGAGCAGCGCATCAACGGCAAAGCATAGAGCTTGAGGATGGACGGCGCATCGAAGAGTGTGACGAGTATAAGTATCTCGGTGTTTGGCTCGATCAGGGTGGAAGGATGGATATAGAGCAATTAGGACAGAATCATCCAGGGCAGGAGAGCCATCGCGATGCTGAACGGGGTGCTCTGGGATCAGAGCATCTCAAAGGCAAACAAGCACCGGATATATGACGCCATCGTTAAAAGTATCGTGCTCTATGGTAGTGAAGTGTGGCCGTTGACGAAAAGAACGCAAGAAATGTTGAGGGCAACTGAAATGGATTTTTGGCGGCGATCTGCCGGCATTTCGAGACGGGACCGTGTCCGTAATGAGAGAATTCGCCAGGTGATGAAGGTTGAGAAAGATATCGTGCACGACGTCATGTCCAGGCAGTTATGCTGGTATGGACATGTGCAAAGAATGTCGGAGGAGAGGTTGCCGAAACAAGTTTTGGATTGGGCACCACCTGGGAAGAGGCGACGGGGACGTCCCGTAAAGGGTTGGCGGCAGGGCGTTGACGAAGAGATGTTGCGGTGTCAGTTGCCCGATAACCTCTGGGAAGACAGGCATATGTGGCGTTTGGGTGTCGTATATAGAACGCCAGAGTGCGTTATAAAGCGACTTTTATATTTTTTAATAAATATATATGATGTAATACTTTTAAAGCTCCCCCCCTCCACTTTTTAAAGTTTATTTCTTGTGAACTATTTTAAAACTTTGAAATCTGGAACCGTGTGACGCGACGGCGACACGAATTGCGTTTTGCAAAAAGGAACCAAGAGCATTCCAATGTTGCTAGCATTGTGCAACTTACATTCTTCGCAATGAAATGACTGGAATCATGCCAAAAATAAAATTTAAAGGTGATTTTTGTCTCGAATTCATAGTTTATTGGGAGTAAAAATAAAACTTGTCTGAATGGTTAGTTTATATTTTTAAGGTAAAAAAAGTTGCACAATTTTAGCGGCATTGGAATGCTATTTGTTCCTTTTTACAAAATGCGATTAATCCTCATGATCTTAAACATTGGCGGATACAGCAATTCGGCGACATTGTTTTTCTCCATTTGAACCTATGGAAATGTATATCGATTCTTGGAGGGGCCAGGTGCTCCGACAAGAATCGATAATTTAACATATGTTTAAATGGAAGGAATCCGGTGTTGCCACATTGCTGGATCCGCCACTGATCTTAAATTTGAGCACTCAATCGTGACTCGTAATCGGGGGTAGGCATCGTTGCGATCGATATGAGTCGCTCGAGAAAAAGAAACGCGAACCAATCGATGGCATTTCGATCAGCAGGCAAAAATTTGATTAATTCGCGGATTTCTTGATCGATTCACGGGTTTCTCAATTCGAACACTAATTTTTCGACCGATTCACGGATTTGTTGATCTATTTATAGATGCTGTTTGAATCGGGTGTCAACCGAATCTATGTCGATCACTTCAAGCCTTCGTTTTTTGATCGATTCATGTCGATCGGATCGAAAATGGGTTCTTCAAAATCAACTGTTCATCGAATCGATGTCGATCGAGTGGTTGTCGATCAGTTAAAGTCGATCAAAACGAGACTCGCAAATCGCAACGACAGGGAAAAACGTGTTTTCCTAGTTCTATCATTTATATTCTGGACGAGAGCAACTCAAAATGGTTAAAGGAAGATTCAGAAAATAATCTCTTAATAATAAGAATTTATTAAAAAATACCTGACAAAAAAACCGATTTTCTGTCCTTGCAGAAAACTTATTTTTTAATACGGCAATATTCTAGGTACACATTCCAAAAAATAAATTCGCTCCTTTCTCTGTTGTGAAATTAAACCCAAATCATTGACTCGGCATATCGAAAATAGACACTAAATTACAAAACAAAATTCGGCGATACAATGGAAAAGTATAGACATTGTACGAGATAAAGTATTTTAATACGTGTTTCTTAACTAAAATTTCACGTTGAGCATGATTCGCTGATGCATTACTGAAATGAACTCTTAACAAAGATATTTGAGGATTCTTGACTCGTAAATTCAAACTTCCCGCTCATGAATAAACAAGGGTCTACGTGAGTCAAATCGACTGAACGTTATCGTAAAAGTCTTTGTAGTTTGAAAGTATGGTAACCTCAATTTCGTTGCTTTGGCTCAACAACTCAACTGTTGGAAGTTGTTAATACTTATAAAACACAGTAGGAAAGGAGGAAATATTGCTCGATTCAGAAGTCTGCCAATACCGTTGTATAGTGCGCGATTCATTTCAAGTAGACTATTGTTTTCCCTTTGAACGTGCTTATAAGAGCTGATTTCAGTAATTTTCGATCCGCGAATCGTGTTCTTCGTAAAATTCTGGTCAAGAATCATGTGTTAGTATGCTTAAATTCATGCCTTGTCTACTGGTACGTTCCCATGATAAAAAAACATGGAGTACATAGAGTCGTAATGTAAGTGGGAGAGCTGGCGCCACTTTTAAGCATTTTCCATGTCCCGAATTCCGAGACTCCTGTGTGACGCCGGGTCACTTTTTCGATACATAATCGATTGTTTGCGATACACGGGTACCCGGCCATCCGATGACAACAACAACAACAGAGGAGGAGATAGGGACTACCACGTATTCCACACCGCCATTTTGGATCGAAAATGTATCGAAAAAGCGACCCAAACTCGGCGCACACCGGGCTCGGAATTCGTCGAGCAGAACATGGCGCCAGCTCTCCCATTTACATTACGACTCTATGTACTCTATGTAAAAAAAAAAAAAAAAAAAAAAAAAAAAAAACCTAAGTAATTTTATGACTATGAGTCATGCTAAAAAAAATACGGTCAAAGAGGACTCATTTAAATAGTTCTCCTAGGCACATGTTATTGCTTGGTGATTGCCAAAAAAACCAAAAAATCAATATACCTCGGATGAATCGCACAGACGTACTGCCTCCAATATTCTCAAGAGCTTTGAAACTTTTCGATAGACCTGATAAATAAAGAAATGGAAATTATGAAAGATATAATATCGATTCATTAGGTTCACAATCGAAATGGCAAAATCCAAAAAAAGAAGATTTCTCATATTTTATTTCTCAAACAAAAAAGTAAGCAACATCGAGACGTGAAATGTTGGGGGCACACGAAAATTCATAGAAAGTTAAAATACTTTATCAGTGTGGATGCTCTCTGGTTGGCAATACTGATTTTGCTCTATTTAAATCCATTAAAATATCGATTATACTTGAGGCAGCCTGCCTCACCAAGAATCGATTATTTTACATGCGTTTTCCGTATTTTACATACGTTTACATACGCAATTTTTTCTGAAAACCTGAAATTTTCCCTATTCCCTCCAAAAATATCTCTAACTTCACTTTGACTCGGGGCTACGTAGCGTATTACTCTCCATAGAACATGGTAATTGATTGAAAAATCGAGCTACAAGCCGAAATATTATTCATAAAATTACGAATATTTGTATATTATATTGGTTAGTAGCTCGATTTTTTAATCAATTACGATGTTATTCATAGCTTAGCCA